AATATGTGATTATAAAGAGGGTTTTTATATTTTAAAAAATCAGAACTAAAATATAGTATGCTTATAAAGAGGGTGTGCTTATATAAGGTATGATTGTAGAGAGGGTTGACTGTATTACATAATATATATAACTTCATTTTCATTGGTCAATTAATTTATTGATAATATTATTATATCATATATTATCATATTATACTCTTATAAGAATATAATATTATCATTATATAAGAATTTTTTATTATATAGTATAAATAAATTTTATTTAATAATATTTATATATTTAAAATAATTAATAATAATAATATATATAAATAATATTTTATTATTATAATAATATTAAATCTTTTTTTATTATTTTACTATTTTAAAATTTTTTTAAAACTAATAAATACTATTTAATTTTTAAATTAAATACTAAAAACTTTTATAAAATAATATTTAAATATTAAAATATTTTTTAATAAAATTGTTACTTGTTAAAAAATAAATATTTTAAACTTTTAAAATATAATATATTTTATTTTATTTTTATTTATAAATTTAAGTAATATAATAAATATTTAATAGAGTAATATATTTTATATTAATATATAAATCTAATCTAAAAAATATTTATAAAATTAATAATTTATTACTAAAATAAGAAAATCATAATATTAATATAAAATTATTATTTTTACATATATTATATATTAGGTATTAAATATTAATAGAGTATTAAATATAAAAATTATTGAAAATAATCATTAGTAAAGTTGACTTTATGTTACAAAAATGGATTAATAATTTAGGCTAATAGATATCTGATGCAAATTAACGCTATAATATATATAATTTATTTATATACATCAAACCTTATATTGTTTTCATATAAATTTAAAAAATATCCTAATATTTGAGATCATAATTTTAATTACATAAATAATTAAAGTAACATTAATAATAATAATAGTAATATAATAATTTTATTATTAAAATAAATAAATTATTTTATTTAAAATAATAGATTATACTATAAATTACCAGAATTGATTAAAAAATACTAATAATAAATATTAAAATTAATAATTATATTTAAAGTTTATAAATTTATAATATTAAAATATAATAAATTTTTATATATGTAAGCTTTTTATATAGTATAAAAAAATGTTATTTTTGCTAAGTTTTTTTTTATAAAATCCGGTAATTTATAATAGGGTAGTTAGTTTATATGATTAATAGATTTATTTGATAGAAATTGTACTTAGATTAAACTTTATCGTTATTAATTACATTTAAAAGTGATTTATATTTTTAAGATATTAAAATTTTGACTTGACGTTTAGATAAAAGTAAAGCTCTAATAAAAATGGCAGGCGTTAAAATATCGGTCTTCGACCGATATTTTTAACGCCCCATTCAATAACAATATCGATATATTTTTCGATGATCGACATTAAAATTTATATTACTGGATATAATAATATTAATTTGAAATTTAAATTAATTAAATCAGTCAAATCAAGACATAAATAATGGGGGTCTTAAAAAAAAAAGTGTCATGCAACAGATAAAGTTTCGGGCGAAACTATTTTAAATAAAGTGATGTAAGTTTGTCGTACATTAAAGAAAAACGTAGATTAAGATCATTTGCCAAATGCAGAATTATATACATCCTATTTTATGACACATGGAAAAAAAGTAAATCATTACGCATTCTTTTGGGGGCTAAAAAAAAAAAAATTAATCAATCATGAGGCATTCTAAACCAAAAATGGATAATTAAATTCTGAAGTGATTTATATAAAAGTAGTTTAAATTCTTTTTTCTTTTTCCAAATCAAAACAACTCTCTATTAAACCTTATCAGCATTATTCAGTGTCCTCCTTTTTTTGTAAATTTACCCACTTATAATTTTATTATGATTACATTTGAACAAATGAAGACGATGTTTGAAGTAATGCCAATTCAACCACTTTATATAACAATGATTATAGGAGCAATATATACGGGTAGTCGAATTAATAAGAAAATACAGTTTGGAGTGCGTGGGATTATAAGTTTGATATTTTTATTAATATTTTCAGCGTATGGTAGTTTCATAGCAGTTCTATTTAGTTTGATTGGTAAACGAGGATTAATAAATTATGTTACAGCAAGATCTTATGGATTTTTTGCTATCCCTGCCGTTGGAATTTCTTTTAAAGTACATGGTGAAGAAAATTTGAATGTACAACCGGCTGTATATATATGTAATCATCAAGCTGCTATTGATGTGTTGGTATTGGCAAGAATATTTCCCAAACATTGTGTGGTTGTAGGCAAAGCTTCTTTGAGATTCGTTCCTCTTCTCGGAATGTTTAGTAAGTTCATACCACCATAGATCACGAGATTACACCGCAGATGTATTTATTTTTTATTTAACCATTTAAATTTTTTAATTAGTGTCACTTGGACAAGCGGTATTTCTTGATCGTAAAAATCATGGCAGTGCAGTACAAGCGTTAACCAAAGCCGCTGATGATATAAGGGAACAAAAGATAAGCGTTTTCATATTTCCAGAAGGTACAAGAGCAAGGTTACAAGAAGCGGATTTGTTACCATTTAAAAAAGGTGCTTTTCATATGGCCGTACAAGCAAAGATACCAGTTGTTCCTATTGTAGTTGCCAACTATAGCGATAATTATGATTCTAAACGTAAAATATTCCTTGGTGGTGAAATTAACATCAAAGGTACATATTGATTTAAAATAATACCCCCATTAATCCTCCTCGTTGTTAACAAATCTTTTATTTCGTAGTTTTACCGCCCATTGAGGTATCGCATATCGATGTGGAGAATAAAGAACAAATCGATGAATTAACGAATTCGACTCGTGAATTAATGTTGAAGACGTTAAAAGAAATAAGCCCTCGAAAGTATTCAACTAAAAAATAATAAAATAATTGTATTTACGTCGTCATGCAATGAATTACATTTGATCAAAATAAAATATAAATAAATTTAATATTGTTGTTGATATTTAATTGGTATAATTGGTCTGGGGAAAAAGACGGTTATTACCAATTATGGATATTATAAATATAATTGAGTTATTTGTTTAGATTACAAATGATAATCTCTTTCCATTGGAAACAAATAAATAAAGATACGGTAAATAGAAGAATAGAAATTCAATTAATAGCCGACGGGATGATGCAAAAATTTTACACTATTTATATCATATACCAAATATAGTTAGAATTAAACCGATTTAAAAAGTATTTAAATTAGTTCTTCGATTTTTCAAATCATTTTTCATCATATATATATATATATATATTTTCTTTACATTCCTTTTTTTTCCATTCCTTCGGGATAGAAACAATACTCTTGGAAAGATACAATGTATCAAAAAGAACTTTTACCAGCTCGTTCTTCTTATCACAAGCGTGCCAAGATAACGTGCTTTTCATTACGTTCAAGTTCCTTTTCAAGATTTTTTCGTTACATAACCCTCATCTCACTTTCATTTCTCTTATTTGCCACATATTACTTGAAACAACAAACCATACTCCAAATTTCAAACGAGAATACTTTGCATACTTCTTTTGAAGATATAAATTTTAAAGACACGGGTGTCTTGAAAGGTCATACATATATAGAGTTATTACATTTAAATTCAACCTGGAATTCGACTTCATATCACGATGTACCAATAACAATAGTAATCATTCATGATAATAAAAATAATCATATCGGAAAACAATTGAATGCGATAGCATCTCAATCAATTAAACCCGAATCAATTTTAATAATTACTACATCCGAAAATGTAAATAGAATATTACAGGTAAAAAAATCGGCAAAAAACTTAGAAATCCACGTTATAAATAACAACAATGATATAAAACCCTTTACATATTTACAAATCATTCAACAAAAAGCTCAAACGAAATACGTTTTATTATTAAATTCTGGTGCGATATTAGGAGAGCAATACTTACAAAATATGTTGCACATATCTCATACTGAGGAGTATAATAATTCTATATTAGGTACGATGGGGATCAATTTTAATGGTGTTCCCAACCGGGTTCAAGACCTTTCGCTAACTTGTTATGAGGATCATCTTGTATCTTCCGAGAATAACGTCGCACGTATATCAAAAGACGTCGATATGTTAACAAATATTTGGTTTCTAAAAAGACAATGGTTACCAATAATGTTCAAGGAAGCTAGAAGGGACATTCTTGACCTTCCATTAGAATTTTTGATTAGTTTCTCCCTTCGATATCATGTTAACATACCTTCGATTTTAATTCCTACACTTGATCAACATTCGTGGGGTGATACCCGTTCAAAGTCAATTCGTTGCAAGAAAATAAGAAGAGAATTTGTAAATGATGATGCTTGGTTACGTTATATTGAACGTGGGTATCCTTTAATTACAAAAGAACCTTCTCGAAGGAAGGAGAATAGCATATTATTTCTCCTTGACGGATCTGATCAAGAAAGTTATTTTAGGCCACTTTATTGTCAATTATCATTAGTGAATAATAACTTGGTTAAAATCATTACGACGGGAGAGAATTTTGGATTAAGTGGATCAAGATTAAAACGAATCATCAAAAAAGAAGGATCATCATGCGGACGTATTGAAGTGTATGATCTTGATCTTGAGATACAAAATGATTTTAATGTTAAAAGTCAAATCTATCAAAATGTTTTACGTATGACGGAATACCTAAAACCGGAATTATTGATTTATGCAAAAGTAACCACGAAAAATCTCCTAATGAAAGGGATTTCATCAGCGATCGAAGGATTTAATGGCGATATATCAATAATTAATTTACCATTAGAAGAAATCGAACACATAATAGGATTGATGATAGATTTACCGTTTGAAGCGTTAAAGAAATGGAATGAACCAATAATTCAATTACAAATAATAACACAAAATCGACCGGATTCATTATCAAGATTAGTTAATTCTTTAAACTCATCCTATTATTTTGGTGATGAGAATATTCCTTTAACGGTAAACATTGATAGAGGAGCTGATCCTGTCACCTTGGAGTATTGCTCAACTTTCTCATGGAACCATGGTAAAAAAACCGTTCGTCATAGGGTGGTTCAAGGTGGATTATTACCTGCCGTGGTAGAATCCTATTATCCTTATAATTATCATGATTATGCCGTTCTATTAGAGGATGATATCGAAGTGTCTCCATTCTTTTATCTTTGGATCAAGTATAATTTATTAAAATATCGTTACGGACCCGATAAAAATCACAGTCAAAGATTATATGGTATCAGTTTATATGGACAAAGACAAATGGAATTGAATATGCTTGGTCGTAAACCTTATGATCCTAAATCCAAATTTAATGGGACGAGTTTCCCCATCAGATCTCCTTATTTATCTCAAATACCTTGTAGTTGGGGCGCCATATATTTCCCTGAGGTTTGGAGAGAATTTCATGATTATCTTGCCGAAAGATTAGATGATGAAACGAAATATCATTTACAATCAATCATAGTACCGGAAAGTCGTTCTTATAAATGGAAGAAATCTTGGAAGAGATATTTTATTGAATTGGTTTATTTAAGAGGTTACGTTATGTTGTATCCAAACTTCAAAAACTTTACCAGTTTTTCTACTAATCACGCCGAAATCGGTACACATATTCAATTTCGAAAAAATAAACCCGCTTATTCCACTATATTTGGTGTTCCCTTGATGATGGAAAATACTATTTATGAGGAATTACCCGATAATCACCTAACCGATTTTAATCAATTACCCGTAACTGATCTTTGGGGTAATCTAACTAGTTTTCATGAATTAATTGATCGTGGCATTACACTTCATAATGAAGTTTCTTTATGTCCTCCTCATTTCAGTAGAGAAATTGATCAACTTGATTTTAGTCCAAAGGATATTTTATGTGTGGATGAGGAGAGGAAACGAAAAGCTATTCGGGATTATAAAGCATTTGAAAAAAGTCAAGAAAATGTTTCATCAATGCCAAAGACGACAAAAGTTTAAATATCACCTGTATTGTAAAAAAAAAAAAAGAATTGATTTCTAATCCCATTAATCATAATTATTTGTTTTTTATTATTGTTATTATTATATACTGTACTAAAAAAAAAAATTCCCTTCCTCGCGCTTATATTAATAAATAATATCATCAAAAATCTATATATCCTCAGAAGTATCCATTTGAGTTGTACTTGATTTCGTTTGTGTTTCTAGCGTTTCTTGTGCTTCTACGTGTTCTTGTTCTCCTTGTTCATCTTGTTCATCTTGCTCTTCATCTGATTCATAAGGTACGTTCGGATCAGCTGATTTAAGGGCGTACTTTTGTAACCACGCATCCTCGGACCATACTATTCAAATAATTTAATGTTAATTTTTTGATTTCAAATAAAGTATCTTCCAGATATTTTCGTTAAATATAGCATTACCTGCTCTCATACTTCCATCTTTAATTCGAATCGGTCTCGCCAAATTAACCTTTACTACTTTACCATAAAGTTCTGATAAATTCATATTATCTATTGCAGCTTGTGCATCACTTGCTTCTTCAAATTCTACAAAACCAAATCCACGATGTTGATTATCTAGGCAAAAAAAAAAAATCGATTAGCTATCAAATTTAGAAGGATGCGCGTAATCTTGGTTCCCTTACGAGATGCCGGATCCGGTGGAATTTGAATTTCTACTATGTCACCGAAGGGAATAAATGCTGCATGTAGTATTTGTTCATTAACTTGATCGTCTAGTCCACCTATTTATAGGTTAACGCAATGATTTTGAATTAAGTATTGGATAACGAAGAGAGAGAGAGAGAGGGAGAGAAGTCAATTTCATACCAACATAGATAGTGGACTTGTTGTTGTTATATTTCATACCAGTTGTCATGATAATGTATTTATCTGCTTATAATAATTAAAAAGCTTGGGATGCTTGGTTAAAATAGAAAAAAAAATATATTTTGATTTTAAAGATCTATTTTTATAATATTTTCTTTTTTTTAAAGTTGGTAAACTTAAAATGATATTTTGATACTCAAGTAATAAAAAAAAAAAAAAAAAATTTTGAAAAATAGATTAAATTCAGATTTTTATAGCAATTTCATCAAGAGTAACAAATTTAAAAATACAGTAATCAAGCATCTCAAAGTTGTCTTAATTAATTCTGCAATATATTCAAATTAAATATGTTTAAAAGAAAATATAACAAAAGAAAACATATTTAAATTAAATAAAATATTATTAATACTTATTATATTTATAATAGTATATTAAAATTATATATTTATTTAAAGAGATAATAGATCTTAATAAAAAGGATAAAATGTTACAGAAATTATATATTTAAATTTCTTTAATTTCTTTAAATAATTATATATTTTAAAACTTTATATATAATAAAATATTTGTAAATAAAATTGATATAAATATTAATAAAATTTTAATAGTTAAAGAAAATATAATATAAAAGTATTTTAAATAAATTAAAAAATTATTTATTATTTAATTATAATAACCTTAAAATAAAATTGCAGGTAAATCTAAAGTTTAATAAAATCATTAAAATTAAAAATTTTAATATAAAAATTTTTAAAATAAATTATTATAATATAATTAGTATAAAATATAATGAAAAATTATATATAAAGTATTTTATTATCCATTTGTTTAATAATTAAGTTAATTCTAATTAGCTTTTGTAATCTATAAAAAGTCTTAATAAAGATGTAAAATTTTATCAGTTAAAACTATTTTAGACTTAAAATGATTTCATTATTAATTTTACTAAAATTAAATCACATACGAATGATGTTTTCAATAATGTTACTAACTCTCTTGCTAAGTAAGAATGTTATGCTTCATTTTTAATTTCTTTCTTAGTTAATTGTAATTCAAGAATCCTTTTTCAACTA